ATAAAATTTATAAAAACGGAAGTATATTCTTAAACCAAATTAAAGTACTCAACATATAATGTAATTTTATACTTATGTCATTATATTTATTCATTAAATAAGCATATTGATAAGTTTTTGGTGGAGTTTTGTTTTCTGAGCTGGATAGGTTGGTTGGGGAGCTTTTCATTGTTCTTCTTAATAACATTATCAGCATAAAACCTCCAATATCCTCATCGTGAACTACGAATATTCCCCAACTTCTTGAGAAAACTTGTTTCTTCTTTTTGAAATCATATAAAAATTGACTGATGTTACTTTAAATTTATTATCAATAACAGTACTACCTTTGTACGTTTATCATACTTATTAAATTTTTGTACATTTACAAATATGGTAAAGTGGCATTAAAACTCATACTTTTGTTAATAGCATCGAGAATTTGCGGAAGGTGATCATCATTATACGTTCTCTCATAAGTGTAGCACTCACTGAACACATGATTTGTGACGGTTTTCTAGCCTACGAAGACACTGATTGCTAGATTAAACAGTGTTGATGCATTCAGACTATCTGATTAGCGTTGACTCGATTGCTGTAACCATCGTTCAGAGACTTAGGGGTGAAATTATCAAGAATCAGTCCCGATAGCTGAGGTATGTCCATTCTTTTTCTTCTTTTAGATAGCAAGTTTTAAAATTAGCTTGTGCATTTAATTCGATTAATGGATGACATTCAAATCCTATTATCTGTGCCTGAACATTTTTACTACCACTTTTACTACTTTTGAATAATTTTCAAAAGACGCTAAAGATCAATTCTACAATAGGCTGCAGTCAATAGTCGAGAAGTGCCCAACAAAGGACCTGACCATTCTGATGGGAGATTTCAACGCCAAGGTTAGAACGGACAACACTGGATATGAAGACATTATGGGACGACACGGACTGGGAGAAAGAAACGAAAATGGTGAGAGATTTGCAAACCTATGTGCCTTCAATAAGCTGGTCATAGGCGGCACCATATTCCCACATAAACGCATACACAAAACCACATGGACTTCACCGGATCACACCACGCAAAACCAAATCGATCATATCTGCATCAACAAAACGTTCAGGAGGACTATAGAGGACGTGAGAACCAAGAGAGGAGCTGATATAGCATCAGATCATCACTTACTGGTCGCCAAGATGAAATTAAAACCCAAGAAGCACTGGACAACGGGGCAGACAGTATCACAAAAGTTCAATACGGCCTTTCTTCAAGATGCTAACAAACTCAACAAATTCAAGATAGTCCTCAGCAATAAGTTCCAGGCCTTTCATGATCTACTCAATGGAGAAGGAACTACTGTGGAGAGCAACTGGAAGGGGATCAAAGAGGCAATCACTTCAACATGTCATGAGGTCCTGGGTCACAAGAAGCACCATCACAAGGAATGGATCACTGTTGATACACTGGATAAGATTCAAGAAAGGAGGAACAAGAAGGCAGCGATCAATACCGGCCGAACAAGAGCAGAAAAAGCCAAGGCGCAAGCTGAATACACAGAAATAAGCAAACAAGTGAAGAGGAGCATCAGAACCGACAAACGTAAATATGTAGAAGATTTAGCAACGACGGCGGAAAAGGCTGCAAGAGAAGGAAACAGAGACAATTGTATGACACGACAAAGAAACTCTCTGGAAATCGCCGCAAACCAGAACGACCAGTGAAAAGCAAGGAAGGCGAGGTAATCACCAACATTGAAGAGCAACAAAACAGGTGGGTAGAACACTTCAAAGAACTGTTGAATCGACCAGCTCCACTGAACCCACCCAACATCGAAGCAGCACCCACGGACCTCCCAATCAATGTTGGCCCATCAACAATTGAAGAAATCATCATGGCCATCAGACAAATCAAGAGTGGCAAAGCATCGGGACCAGACAACATTCCAGCAGAGGCACTAAAAGCAGACGTAGAGGCAACTGCAAGGATACTCCACGTTCTCTTCAATAAGATTTGGGATGAGGAACAAGTACCAACAGACTGGAAAGAAGGACTTCTGATCAAAATACCAAAGGTGATCTCAGCAAGTGTGATAACTACAGGGGCATCACTCTTCTCTCAATACCGGGAAAAGTCTTCAACAGGGTATTGTTAAACAGGATGAAGGACTGCGTAGACGCCCAACTTCGTGACCAACAGGCAGGATTCCGTAAGGATAGATCGTGTACAGACCAAATCACAACTCTACGGACCATTGTGGAACAATCAATTGAATGGAACTCATCACTCTACATCAACTTCATTGACTACGAAAAGGCATTTGATAGCGTGGACAGAACAACACTATGGAGGTTTCTTCGATACTACGGCGTGCCTCAGAAGATAGTCAATATCATACAGAGTTCATATGATGGATCACACTGCGAAATCGTGCATGGAGGACAGTTGACAAAGTCGTTCGAAGTGAAGACCGGTGTTAGGCAAGGTTGCTTACTCTCACCCTTTCTCTTTTTCCTGGTGATCGACTGGATCATGGAGACGTCAACGTCTGAAGGAAAGCGCGGGATACAATGGACATCTAAGATGCAGTTGGATGATCTAGACTTCGCAGACGACCTGGCCCTTCTATCCCAAACGCAACAACAGATGCAGGAGAAGACAAACAGTGTGGCAGCAGCCTCAGTAGCAATAGGTCTCAATATACACAAAAGGAAAAGCAGGATTCTCCGATACAACACAGAATGCACCAATCCAATCACAATTGACGGAGAAGATTTGGAAGATGTAAAAACCTTTACGTATTTGGGCAGCATCATTCATGAACAGGGTGGATCTGATGCAGATGTGAAGGCGCGGATCGGCAAAGCAAGAGCAGAATATTTAAAACTGAGGAACATCTGGAACTCAAAGCAACTGTCAACCAACACCAAGGTCAGCATTTTCAATACAAATGTCAAGACAGTTCTACTGTATGGGGCAGAAACCTGGAGAACTACAAAAACCATCATCCAGAAAATACAGGTGTTTATTAACAGTTTTCCACAGAATATACTTCGGATCCGTTGGCCAGACACTATTAGAAACAACGTACTGTGGGAGAGAACAAACCAGATCCCAGCGGAGGAAGAAGCGCTGGAAGTGGATAGGACACACATTGAGGAAAGCACCCAACTGCATCACAAGACAAGCTCTCGCTTGGAATCCTGAAGGTCAAAGGAAAAGAGGAAGACCAAAGAACACATTACGCCGGGATATGGAGATAGACATGAGAAAAATGAACAAGAATTGGATGGAACTAGAAAAGAAGGCCCAGGATAGAGTGGGTTGGAGAATGCTGGTCAGCGGCCTATGCTCCATTGGGAGTAACAGGCGTAAGTAAGTAAGTAAGTAAGTAAGCTTACTACTTTTACTAATTTTATATTTATCGTGATAATCTCACCTCTCTATTCGTCGAGGACTTACGTTCTCTCAGCTCAATGATCTAGTCTTTAAACTTTCATTGTTTTGCCATATATTTGATGAAATTCAAATACCCCATTTCTACCTGGAGTTTGTATTAATGACTTTTTGAGAAGAGTTCCATGATTTAACCAAAATCGAGCACAGTCACCTTAAATTTGTAGATGGACTTTACTAGAGAACGCCATCTGAAAAAAAATCTAAAACCTAAACTCCATGTTAATTATCCCCAACAAACAAACATGAATTAATGTGGACCTTCATTTTGAGTCAGTTATTCACAGTTTGAATTGATTGTTGGAGTCCATTCATCACTAATATTCTCTTAAAACTATGTGTTGCTTAACTCCTCCCAAACCAAAATAAAAATTGAAACGGGTATTGCATATTCTAATAAACCCGAACAACAAAGACATTATAATAAAAACATTAAGGTTTTGTGATGATTAGAAGTATTTGAATTATTGTACGGACTATGAATTCTCGAAATAGCATAATTTAAACCAAGCAGAAGTAGGTGAGCACAAATGAACCTATTGAATTTGGAATTCGAAATCAGGCAGTTATAAAGTACAAAGGAATCACTAGTTCATACAAACACCACAGGTTTATATGGAATCTACATAAGAAACTTCTAGCTTCTTGATTGATCCACCAACGTTGATGAGTTAAAAATGGAAAAATCAATGTCTTCCAATTTGAGTCAGACCAGACCATGTAATAATCAGAATTGCATTTGGCTAATAACTAAATATTAGTTACTAAGAATCGACCAATTAAACTGATAATAACTTTCGCATGCTAAATTAAACATACGGTAGCAACCAGTTTTGTCTAAATAAATATTAAACTCTACCAAAAATAACACTGTTTGTTAAAGAATGTTTGTTTTCCGAAGGAAATTACAATAATACTTGTTTATGGTAATAACAATAAAATTCTAGTCTCATATTCGTCTGATTATGAGGTAAAATACACAATCCGTATGCAAAGAAAATTCCTGTTCATTCTCTCTGCATATATATATATATATATATATATATATATCCATGTATAGTATCTAAGTGTACATCATGTTTTTGAATGAAACAGACACTTTTAGTTAGCCGGTATTCTCTTTCTTTAGTCAGTAACTCGGTTTTTTTTAAGTAATCGTCTTCTGTCATACGATTTACATTAGTTCAAGCAATATACCACTTAATTGACACAACCCATACGATGTTTCTGTGGTATGATAAATACTATACTTGATACATTGTTCGCTAAACAAATTGTGTCAACTTTACATAAAACAACGTTGTTAGTTAAGATATAAAAGCTTTGATTAGGATTTTAATATTGTGCATAAAACAAAAATATTTCTGAACAATTTATAAACTTCCACAGCATTTATGTATTTTCTTTCAAATAATAATAGAGTAATACAACGTTAATGAAATGATGTATTACTTACTGTAACAGAGTAGTATGATAAATTACAGTCCATGTTGAAAAAATAAAATTAAAATTAATCAAACACTTTCCCACTGTTACTATTTATAAAATGAGGTTCTGTATAAGAGGAATTTTCATGTCATCTGAGATTGTTGTGACGTTTTGGTTATGTTTAAATTAACAATAAGACGATTATTATCAACATAAAAATTAATTGATTCAGGATCAGGAATACAATCAGAAGCCTCATATTCTTTATAATATGTTCTTTGGACAAGATGTTTGGAATCAGATTTATTAGAGTTATGTTTCACTATTGAATAATCAAGGTTAGTAATTGTTATGCATACTGAACGTTGTACAACAGTAACCTTTATATTCTCTTCCTTGAAATTTTTGTCTAAGGGGATCACGAAAATGAGTTTATTCCCTTCGCGAATAGTTTTATGTCGATCAAGATGTTGTGTTTGTAATTTTTCACCATTATCCAGTTCGATATCAGGCTCATTTGGAACAGAACTTTTGCATTCCTGTAATGTTATACCATCACATTCTTTACTTTGTTTTGGTTTGCTTAAATCAAAAGACATATATGGAATATCAATTAGAAGGAGACCATTTCGTAATAACATGATTTTTGAGTTTTCAGCCATCACATTCTGAGGCACAGTAAGCTTATTTTGAACTTCACGACAAATGATTTCATCTGTTTTGCTTGTTTCGGTTCTTGCATTTATTATTATTTCCCTTTTAGAAGTTAGATATGCACTAAGTGAGTCGCGCCTAATTCCTTTCGCATTCAAAAAAATTTTAAGGAAGCAATGACAACCGGGGGTATTTACAGTGAAAATAGTACATACGTGTTCCAATATATTAGATATTTGTTCCATTGGTGATTAAGAGATTTTATAGAAGAGGTTAGAATGCATTTGATCATGATCTTAGGAACTAATGTTTATAATGATTAATATATTCATGTAAAGTTTTAGGTCTAGGGCTTTGAACATGGACGAAAATAGGAGTTATTTGTTTGGCAAATGATCTGGGGTTACTAACGTAAATAAAACTAGGATGATTATTATTGGTTATTTGTAATCTACCAATAGGCAGTTGAAACTCTTGGAATCAAAATTCACCATTTAGGCTATTATTCACCTCGAAAAGCTATGGTACCATACTCAAAGAAGCAGATTCAGATCATTTAACGTGTATAAATACTCTTTACATCCTAAGAGGTTCTTAATTTTCAAACTTCCAATATATTCAAGCGATCAGAAACACTAAAATGGAATATGTAATAGAACCAAACCGAATATTTCTCAAATAACAGTTAGTTGCACATAATACTGAAGTAACAGCACAGTATTTCGTCAATGTTGTGGATTTGTTTAAATCTGTGAACGCGAATCGCTCATAAAACGCGGTACTTGTGGTTTTGTTCCTTGTTTTATGAATAGTTCAATTACGGAGGTAAACATGAGCGTCCCGAGCCGTGCGACTAACTCAAACAATACGATTTTATCTGAGGAACGGACATGTCACAGAAGTCAAATGACATCATCAGATGCTGTTGGACGTTCAATGGCACTTTTACCCATAAATCATAATCATGCTCTACATCATGGAATAAAATTAATGCCTCACATAAACATGCCTCACAGAGAAGTAGGAGCAACAACACCTTTGGTTAATAACTCCGGCACAGCTAGTACGTGCTCGATGTCCCTACCAGGTTCGATGTCATCGGCATCGGACACTGTTTGTAATATTCTTCCACATAACACTTCAGATGGCAGCTCAATAGACCTCGCTAGTCTTTTCGAATGCCCGGTTTGCATGGATTATGCTCTACCACCTATTATGCAATGTCAAAGTGGACATATCGTTTGCGCATCGTGCCGGTCAAAACTCTCATCATGCCCAACTTGTAGAGGCAACTTAGGTAAGCTTGATACATCATTTCGGTATATAACTTTTAATGTTCCCAGTAGCAAGGGTGCTACTGATACAGTTCACAATTTTGCACACGTTTGGGTTGTGTTATGCACAGACGATAATATTTTTGACATGAAACGTCTCGTCTTGCACTAATCGACCACCCAAATGTTAATATCTCCTATTAGTTATTCGCTTTTTTCGCTCTTATCACACCTGAAGATTTGTGGCACAGAAAGCCTATGGTATATGCTGTTTTGAGCCTTTTAATATTCTATTAACGATACAGTGCATAAATTTTCCCATGCGTAGTAACATCCAGGTCATCATTAATTTAGTCTTAAGTTGACTCATTATCGTCAGCATAGTGACTTCTCTATCACTCTGCCAAGAAAACGATGTTATTGTACTTAGTGTCACTTACTGCTTCAGTAATTAACACTTTTGATATCAAATTTAAGTAGTTACCTTACTCATTTTCGGTCTCAATGACACCTTGTAAAAGTGTTTATTTTGCCAAAATAGGGCGTTAGACTGTCATAACTTATTTTCTGTCACACCAGTCAATCGCATGTCGCAGGTAATAACTAGGATTTTTATCGTAGGTTTGGATAGTATATTGATTCCTTACCTCAACCTTTCTCAGTTCTGTCTTGTTCGGGAGTCATCTGACTCCTAGTACGTGAATATATTAACCCTGTCTCGCGACAACAAATATAAAGCAAGATCACATAATTGCATCAAGGAGAGGCTTGTTAATGTTCAATATTCCGTACCCACCCAACTTCAATCAGGTATCACTTAAAGAAAAGTCTGTACTGATGTTCGTTTTAAAAAGGGTAATTAAGTGATTAAGGTTGTAAACCAGTTTTCTTATATATATGGTTGTATTAGCTCTCTCAAATCGGTTGTTTACGCAATTACGACAAAAACAGTGTTTGTTTAAGGTCTGTCAACTTTTGATGCTGACTAGATGCATTGCCGATTTTTGCAGAGTGTACCTACTTCACGCCATAATAGGCCGCTTAGTCGGTGCAAAACAAGACTTAAGTGTACATTCTTAGATGTAATCTAAAACTTTTTATATCTAGGTAGGTTCCAGTTGATACTTCACATTTGTTTCGACAGAAGCAGTCAAGTGAACGAAAAGCAGTGAGATTAAGCCGAAAATGTGATTGATGGTAATCGGCAACAATGTATCAGAAAATGAATATATAATCAATAATCAATATATATAATCAATAATCAATAACACAGAACAAGCTGTGAAACACATATGGAGAAATTCGAACACTTCACTTCTATCTGAAGTTTGTGCTGATGATGTCGTTCAGAAGAGCGATGAAAGCTCCACGACCAAACCATCCAGCTCAGAGAACAAAACACCACCGAAATCAATTACTCGTTTGTATACCACGAGAAGACTAAGAGTATATACAAGTTTGTACCGATGCGAATCATTTTGGTCTCTTACCACCCATATGGTCAGACTATTTGTTACATTTATTTCGTGACTTTTCAAAGACTACCTAAAGCTGTCTATACTACTTAAACCATCATTTAATAATTTCATGAACTGAAACCGTTTTGCTGTCTGTTCACTTTTTTATGTTCGAATGTTATTGAACAGTCACGACCTGTTTAGTGTACCAGCCACTTTAGTCAGTGGAGATTCATACGCTCGTCTGCTGATCCACGTATATTCTGGACTGTGTCTAGCATCGGTGCCTGTAACGTCACCTTTACTTTTGTTGGCTGTTTGGTGTACGTAACGTAGTGCAGAACTAACTGGTGCACAACATACTTTTCCTTTTATAGTCATTCGCATTTCTTCTGTATCTTAAGTAGGACATAGGACAATGACTTAATAGTTGTATTTATTTATTTATGCATTTAAACACACAAACATTGTTACAAGGAGGTATCAAACAGATATGTGTCACATGAATGATTCGATTGGTGTGATGGATGGAATATTTCCCGGGCTCCCAGACTGAAGCAGGTGGTTTTCTTAGGAGGCAACCCCGTCGAGCCTTTGACCTAGAGGTCTAGTCCACAAGGCAATGGAACAACGTTAGGAGATGCAGTCCCATGGTAGCCGATGACCAACAACAGGTTCATACGCCATTTGTTCCTTCAAGATAATGGAGCCCTTGTGCACGATTGGTTTGGAACCAGGGTTTTTCAACTCACCTAGGTGGATCCTCCTTCGCTTTTCATCCTCCCAATTTCGTAAACAACACCTGCTCTGTGGCTAAACACTTGAGGCCATGCGAGAGCATTTCGAAAGAGAGAGTGGACCCTCCCCACTCTCGACCATACCAGGGCATTTGGGGGCTAATAGTTATAACATTTAGTTCTCAGCCACTACTTTACAGGTTGAAGTTCATCTTGGCCTAATTTTATTTGGGCAACCAGACAGTATCACTAATCACAAATATTTCGAGTCAAATTCGAGTACGTTACGTCGGGTTGGAAGAGAATTAGGGGCGGCCAAACCAAAACGTGGCACCAGTGCTTGAAGACACTAACCTCTAGTCTGAGCCATGTTGGTAGATGCAGACTACTTGATTGGGGTCCGCGTGACTTTCATAACCGATGGTTGGAGACTCTTGATGATATGGCTCAGAATTGATCACAATGGCGTAGGTGTATACACTCCCTGTCTTCCCTTAAACTAAGAGATTAAAATCACTTCATATCTTTCTTTCTACTGAATAATTCTTTCTTCCTGTACTGTATCCTTATATTCAATTTTTCTCCTATATATTACCACCTTTGACCTAACCACTCCTATGAATCCGGTGTTCATCTTGCTGTGCTAATGCGGTATGGCAACTTGGACCGATGCATATATGTGCCTGGTCCTACGTTGTAGCTGACTGACGTTACCCTGTAGTTAGTAAATAAGTTTGCATAATTTGCAAAATGAAAGTAGGACCTTATCCCCGGCTATATTTTGTCAGACTCAATAAGACTTACGATGTGCGAAATGGTTTATCGGTATAACTTAACCACTGATAGTCAACATTAGCAATTACGGAAGCTGTCCTAAAGTAACTATGTAATGGGAAATTTAAATATAGTATTTTTTGTCTAAAATTTTGTTGTAATCTGTCTCTTGATCGATTTTCAACGGTTGTGCTTTCTTTGCTAGTATACAACAATGATACTGTTTCGTACTAATCATTTTGAGTCCTTCCTGTGGATTCGATGTCCTAATTCTTTCCTAATTAATGTGCATATTGTCTCGATTCAACTTCCAAAGTCACTCACAAGATACCTCGTCTCACTTTTCTTTCTAAGATAATATCCGGAACCTCGCAATGGAAAAACTTGCTTCCAGTGTATTATTTCCTTGCAAGTACTCCACTAGTGGTTGCCCAGAAACTTTTCATTATACATCCAAATCAGAACATGAAGCAGCTTGCGAATATAGGTAAGTTTTTTATTTCTTGACCGCTTCTAAAGATACATCCCTAGTTTCAAATCTCCTGTCAATGGTTGTCTTAATTTCTATCATATTCACTAACTCATTTTCGTTTTGCACTCTCTTCGATATTTCATGAAAATATATAACTATGAGCCCATTATGATATCCAGACACTGAACTTTAAGCAGTTGCCATATGTATTACGTATGCCTAACCACCATCTACCCCAACAAGTCGTGCTTGCTAGTGCACAATTAGGTTGGAAGAAAGCTAGGTTCGGTCGAACTAATAATGCTAATTAATGAAGTCATCGATTGTTGGCCTGAGCCATGCATGTAGACGCAGGCTAACTAGTTGAATTTGGCGTGATGACTGTAATCGGTGGTTGAAGACGTTCACAGTGGCGGAGATGCATCCACTCTTCAGCTTGAATTCCAGTATTCTTTCATACTTAACTTTTCATCATCCTTCGAAACCATGTCCCCAAAGTTTATTTTTTCTTTTTACAATTGCTGCTGCGTTGTTCCGAACTCTTTTTTTATTCATATCTTGTGTTAGTGTGGTATAGCCCCATGCTGATGATGCTTGTTTTTGTCTAAAGAATTAATAGAATGATGGAGACTTTTTTTCAGTCTAATCTGAGGACAGGCAAAAGATATGTTTGTAATAACTCATTGTAATGCTCTATACTGCAAGCAGATGGATTAAAAGAGCCATCAACAATAGCGAATACTAGTCTGGATTTAAAATTATTTGTTTGGCCCATTTAGGAGAATTTTTGTATCATCAAGTTAAATTTGTCTGAAGTATGTTATTGTATTCAGTTTTATTTGCTTTTGACTCCCCATCAGTCTGCCTAGTATCCGAAAATCTTGTAAGCAACTTTAATTATGTAAACGACTCGATTCCTATAGGTAAAGAGGTTTTCATAGTACTATTTTAAACTGTTGACCAAGTCAAGTTTCGAACTCGTCAGATTCCGTAAAAGTGTTCTGTACCGTTAATAGCAGTGGTAGTTAATGTGTTTGTGCCCACTGATCATTTCTGTGACTTCGTAATCAAACTATCCATTAAATAGTGAAAACTCCATCCTATTTATTGAAATTGATTTGGTTACCTGATATCATTAACCTGCATTTTAAGAGCAGTTCATAAAGGGTGCATATGTCTGTTGTGGTTTTGTAGTATATTATCCCACTATGTATCTATTTCCATATTTTCTGCTTAGATTATTTTCGATAACATTTCAGTTGAATACAGGAATTCTGATTACTATTTACTAACACCACTACGGAGGCAGTATTGATACATTTACCGCGAAACAAACATGCAGCATAGTAGTCTGTTTCATTCTGTTATACTGCTAAAATCTATTGTAGATTGGAGAGTATATACAAAAATTAGACTCATAGACTCTCAGATATTTATTGTTAATAGTGGAAGCATTAAAAGAACAATTTGCCTAACGGCAAGCTATGAGCGTTTTCGCCCATTGAAGTGGTTGGTATATATTTTGTGCACGTAGAAATGACTGATGTTACTTAGCATAGATCATTTTCGTTTGTTTCTCTCATTTCCCAATGTGTTTTAAGACTACTATAATTCTGTCTATGTTGGTGAAATGTGTATCGACCTATTTATTTATTTGAACACATGAATATTGGTACTAGAGAGCGCCAATATATATGTGCCACACAAAACAATGAGGATTCAAAGAGAAATAGAAAAAAAAGCTAAGGAGCGCAAAAAAAGAGAACAATAACGAGGAGATTGGTGTAAGGTAGTATGGTAGAAATGAGGGAACGAAAAGGTACAGTCAGAAGAAATCTTTCAGGTAAGGGAGACAACCACTTTTTATGAAGAAAGTAAAAGAAGGTTGCAGTAGGATCGCCACTGGCTTCTATTCTGAGCCATATCTGATAACGTCTCTAGCCACTGTGTAGCACCATCTCTCAGACCCCAACCAGGGAGTCCTGAAGGACCAACAGAAGCCAGTCCTTTGCAGCTTTCTTTCATGCCACGACACCATGTCATGCACTGACCACCTCTCCGCTTCTTCCAACCAGTCCCAGAGTCGGCAAATAATGCACAACGTGGAGTTCTCTGGGACGACATTCGGAAAACATGTCCAAGCCACCGAAGTCGGTGTTTCAAGATGGTGACACCAATTGAATTATCATCTCTGTGCCCGAACACACGATGCCGAACCTCTGCATTACTGACATGGTGTTGCCACTGAATGTCAGCAATACTTCGGAGACAGCGATGATCGAACACAGAGAGTCGTCTAACGTCCTCAACTCGGAGACCAGGTTTCACAAGCATAGAGCAAAACTGCTCTCACCGACGAGTTGTAGATCCGATCTTTTACAGCCAGACTAACATCACGAAGGCGCCAAAGGTGGCCCAGATTAGCATAAGCCGCTCTGGCTTTCACTATTCGTGCATTGATCTCACCACTCACACCCCCACCAGCACTTATGCAGCTACCCAGATACACGAACTTCTCGACTACGTCTATCTGCTCACCATCCAGGCTGAGTACAGGATTGGAATCCTGCTAGTCTTGTAGAAGTACTTTGCACTTCGAAGATGCAAGGCACATACCATACCTACGGACACTGATTGCCAACTGATTAGGTGCGGATTGCATGCCTTGGGCATTATCGCACAGTAAGACAATATCGTCCGCATACTCAAGGTCGAGAAGTCTTTCTCCAGGCAGCCGATCCATACAGCCATTACCTATATATATCAGAGCTGTTTCCAGAATGTCATTGATGGCAAAGTTGAAGAGGTATGGTGATATTGGGCAACCCTGTCTAACCCCACTGCTCGAATGGAACAATGGAGAGAGGTGGTTGTATGCCCTCACTCTGCCTGAGGTGTTTGTATATAGGGCTTTTAGGATGTTAATAAACTTCTCAGGCACACCCTTCCTCAATAGACAATCCCAGAGAACAGTCCTGTCCAACGAGTCGAAGGCAGCTCTGATGTCAAGAAACACTACGATTGTTGGCCTTTGATAAGTATGACGGTGTTCTAACATTTGGCGGAGTGTGAAGATATGATCAATATATCCTCGACCAGAACGAAACCCAGCCTGCTCCTCGCGAGTCAATCTTTCTCGGGTTTTGAACAACCTACGAAGTATGACGGAAGCCAATAGCTTGGACGCAATCGGAAGTAGACTTATCCTCCGATAGTTGTTACAGGAACGACGTGAACCCTTTTTAAAGATAGGGACAACTATCGACTCATTCCATGACGTTGGTACACTCTCTAGTTCCCAAACCTTTGTAAACAACGTCGTCAATTCCTTAGTCAAAAAGTCACCACCATCTTTAAAAAGAGCCGGAGGTAAGTCATCTGGGCCAGGTGATTTGTAACGCTTCAAGAGTTGGAGTTCCTTGCAGACTTCCTCCTCGTTTGGTGGATCAGTCGTCACCGGCCATAGAGGGCAGGACAGTCTGACCGATGTTGCCGGAGCAGCAGGCCAGTTGAACTGCCCTTCGAAAAATTCTGCCCATCGTTCAAGATGTCGATGTATATTAGTGATTGGCATTCCGTCATCCTCACAGATTGTTTCGCTCACACCAGACTTCTTGATGCCAGTGGCTCGGATGAGTTGGAAGAACTTCCGGTAATTACCAGATGCAGATGCTGCTTCCAGCTCATTAGCACGCTTCGACCACCAGGCTTCTCGGTCCTTACGCAAGCTTTGCCCAATTTCCTTACGTAACATCCTTCGTTTATGGTCAAACTCACGGTCACCCGGAGTAGACCGACGGGCTTCAATGAATTGTAAGGAACCTGCAGAAACCCAGTGCTTAAAAGCGGGATGTTTCGCGAACCCACAACTGACTGTACCCGCCATTTTCATGGCGTCATGCAATTGCAACCAATGCTCATCCATAGTTTTCGGTGGAGTGGTAGCTAGCCTAGAGGCTAGCTCGGTTCGATACTTACTTGCAACAGAAGTTGCAACCAGCCTGCTAATATCAATCCGTTGATGGCGGTCACTTCGTTGTCCACTGAAAAGTAAGGCAAGATTGGCGCAGACCAAGGCATGGTCAGAGTCCAGATAGGTACTCCAAAAGGAGCGGCAGTCTTGTACACAACCACGCCAGCGGTAGCTGATCGCGATGTGATCAATCTGAGTCCAGGCTTGAGATGCAGAGGGAGGACGCCAGATGGCACATCGGCGATGACTATGTCGAAAGTTAGTGCTAGCCAGAAACAGGTTGTGGTCTGTGCATAGTTGCAGTAGACGGTCCTCGTTATCTGTCCTGCGAACAACATGTCCTCGTCGGCCACCTAAACGACTCTCTTCTGTGCCTAGACGCCCGACCTGAGCATTCAAGTCTCTGGCTAGTACTACAATATCTGTCGAACGCACTTTCTGGAGAAGAACAGATAACTGGTGGTAGAGTTCATCCTTGATTGCATCCGGGCTGCAATCTGTCGGGGCATAGGCGGAGATGACGAAAAGACATCGTTTCTCACGCCGATTTCTTCTCACTCTGATGGAACTTTCTAATCTAACAGCACATAATAGACTGTTAATGGGGATCCAATCGACTAGTGCTGCCTCAGCTCCAGCGCTTAGTGCGACACCAACGCCAGCGAGACCAGACGAAGATGCCACAGGGTCCCCAGATAAGCGCACGTAAAACAAGCTTTTCGAAGTGACAGGTGGAGATCGAATTTGTAGTACTTCGCCAGAGTCTCGAATACGGGTCTCGGATAGACAACAAACATCAATATTAAGACTTTCCAAAGACATAGCCAGCCCTATCTGTTGTCCGACCTGCATAAGTGTGCGAACGTTGAAGGCAGCCAGTTTGAATGGTGCACGTGGTTTCAGAAAAACTGCTTCAGTACTCATATTCGGTGGTAACATACAATTTTCAACCGGACAGTGACACGAGAACGTTTAGATACAGTCGAATTTCCACCAAAGACGAGCCGCTGTATAAGTATAAAAGAGGGTGAATAATGTGGAAAATAATAATAATAATAATAATAATAATAATAATAATAATAATAACAGTAATAATAATAATAATAATGACAATAATAGTAATAATAATGACAATAATTGTAATGATAATAATTTGAATCAATTGATTGTTTTTCGAAGCGAGAAAAGTAGTTTCCACAGACATAGAGAGTTCATTATTTGTGTGTGGGCTGTGATACTGCCCGGGTGCCCAAACCGAAGCAGGTGGTTATCTTAGTGGGCCACTCCCCGAGCCTTTGACCTAAAGGTCTAACCCACAAGGCAGTGGAACATCGTAAGGAGATGCAATCCCATGGTACCCGGTGACCAACGAGTGGTTCATACGCCATTTGTTCCCGTAGGATACTGGAGCCCATGTGCACCATTGGTTTGGGATCCGGTTAAAGCGCCGGACATTCGCTTTTCGTCCTCTCATTTTCGTAAACAACACCCCCGCCACGAGAAGGCAATGAGTAGGACTTCCCTGGTAGAGGCTGTATACGCGCGGCCGTGTGAGAGTATTTCGAGAGGGAGAGCGGACTCTCCCCACTCTCGGCCGTACCAGGGGCCTATACCATTTTACATTTCTCTGTCCATTTGTGCCTTATTAAATAGTTTTCGAGCAATTTTGAGATGAAATGTAAATCACTCTGTGAGTTAAACTCAATATTCGTGAATTCTTGATCATAAGAAACTATGCTACTTTCGCAGTATTCAACTTTTCTTTATGTGATATGGTATTTTCCAGGTTCGTGATTCGCATTTTCCTCATAGCTTTGTATTAAGCTAACTTATTAAATAAGAACTTTCGTCTAAATTTGAACGAATAGTTTCACAATATTTGGGCGCCGAGTTAATTTGAGACATTAAAAAGAAGAATATATTTGTAAAATCTCAGCGAATGAATTATAAGTAAATCCAACGTTTCGCCTGGCAATCTGGTCCAAGCTTTTTCAAGGAAAATATAATCAAACAACAAAATTATCGAATATATATTATATTATATTCGATAATTTTGTTGTTTGATTATATTTTCCTTGAAAAAGCTTGGACCAGATTGCCAGGCGAAACGTTGGATTTACTTATAATTCATTCGCTGAGATTTTACAAATATATTCTTCTTTTTAAAGCTAACTTATTGTTATCTGTTCTTTTCAAGTAGATCACTAAACTTGTCTAGACACTACAGTGATTCAACTCCACTATCTAGTTACATTCATGGAATTTTCATTATATGGCTTTGTGTTTCTTACACCTAATTCTCAACGTTAAGATCAATAATTCAAACCCATTTAATCTCTTTCCTCCCTGAAAACCGTTTGTGATACTTTTAGTCCATTTTTCAAGGTGGTAATAATTGTTCACTGATTAGTGATTAGTAAACAAGCATGTGCTGATATATATTAAAAAGTGTCTGGTTGTAACATGTACTGTTTTTTTTCATAATTATATCAAATATTGATTACAAGCGTTTATTTGGTAAATAATCATTTTAGGCCCTATGATTGTCCGTGTCCTGGTGCTTCATGTAAGTGGCTTGGTGAATTGGAACAAGTTATGCCCCATCTCGTGCATCACCATAAAAGCATTACAACTTTACAAGGTAAGAATTATCTGGGATTTTTCCTTTGACCAGATTATTTATTAGTATTATTTACAGATATTATAGGTTTCATTTCTACTTTAGGTTTATCAGTTACAGGTATTTTTGGAATAATTGTACCCATTAATCCCGTGTATATTTAGGTGGAATATTAGGAAATGATCATCTTTCTAGGAATGTTAAAGGTTGTTTATAAGTTTCAAGTTATTCTTCTTATGAATTGATTATATTTGCATTCATTTTATCATAAAATGTAATCAGAACCGTTAAATAACCATGTACTTCAAGGCCTAATAAATGACTCCACCAACCAAAAATTCATGGTCCGTCTGTCTGTACCATCTCTGATATCCACACTTGAATGTGGTTTTTTCTTGATCTCATTATCACAGTAAGTGCTTATTGCTGATGAGTTAGAGACGAACATGATACAAATATCCGATATTATTATAGTCGTGGTGGTGATCAAGCTTTCCTATTTTTACACGAATCGGTCTGTATTGACCGAAAAGGTAGATGCAAGCAATATCTTACTGTTATGAAATGTTAGTAAGTTGTTTCTCTTAAATAGGTAGCATTTCCAACAATGCTACCTCCGAACTTCGAGACATAAATTTTTTGCACTCAACAAACAGTGGGTTATCAGTGTCGCGATGTCGAGTTTTTAAGACTAGTTGTCGTATTGTGACCCGATCAATAAAGTTTAGTCAGCACTAAGCATTAAGCATACACAACACCAGTATCCACTCCGTGATGGTCTATATGAATGGGTTTCCTTATTGTCTTCCTTTCAATAATTCAATAATGAATGTCGTATTTTTAAAACCAGAAGTAACATCGAACTTTTTTCCTTGAATTATTATTGTAATGTCATTTGTTTTTGTGTCTCAGGTGAAGATATTGTATTTTTGGCTACTGACATAAGTCTTCCAGGTGCTGTAGACTGGGTTATGATGCAGTCTTGTTTTGGACATAGTTTTATGCTGGTTCTAGAAAAACAGGAACGTGTACCAGATCAGATATTTTTCGCTCTTGTCCAACTCATCGGAACTCGGAAACAGGCGGATCAGTTTGTGTACAGGTAGGAACATTTTGGATTGTTGAATGTGATTTTAAAAATTCAGCCTAATTCTCCTGTTTCTAATAAATGTTATGCACAATAGGGCCATACTGTGTAAATATAATTTGAACACACTTTTAGTTTATAGCTGAAATATTAGTTTATTTAGTGAGTGATAAACACACACTATCTTTAAGTACTCGTTCTCATAAAAATTAGTCACTTAGAGAAACATGAGCGTATAACTTAGCACATCTCTTCTCTCCGAAAGATAATATCCATCATTTCATGGACTTCACATTTAATGGATATGTCTTCTTAACATGATCAAAACAATAGTCAGTAACCACTGAAAGCAGTTATATATCATATATCAGCGTAACTACATCTAGTTTTTTTTCCTATTTGAACTTCATGTGTCATCGTACGTAGAGATAGGTAGTTACTTGTTGTGCGTAACGTATGTCTTAACCATGTCGGCGCAAGTTCTTAATATCATCTTCTGACTTCATCTCCTTATCTACAATTTTATTACTTGATTTCAACATTTCTCAGTTGGTAATTTCATCGTACGTCCATGCTTCAAAGACACCTTTGGTTGATTAGCTGCAACTTATTTAGCATCATGTATCATAACCATAAAATAGAAGACAGCTCTTCAGTATGCTAGTCGTGCAAGGTGGACAACCATGCACCTCACCTGTTCCTTTGGCACTGTAGGTTGGTGAGTTTTGGTCGAATGATCTTTATGTATATAATAATTCAATAGTGGACCAGTTATCGGCTTTGATGCATCTGAAATAAGTAAAGATATCCTCACTGTCAAGTTTCATTCTTTATTCTTAAACTGACTTACTCCCAGGATAGACTTAAATTCTCGACAGCATCTGTAAGGTATTAATAGTTCATATCCTTCCTAGCTTTGCCAAGAGTTAAGTGGTTGATTTCATCTAATTTACAGTCAAATCATAGGAACTAGAGTGTAGCTACAGACCAGTTTAACTGTTCTTCAGTGTTCCACTCATCCAATAATCTCTCCTTTATAAGAGGTTATCAGCTTTCAGCACATTTTTTCAAACCCCCCTAATAACTATGGAATACTAGCACCTATTGGTGCTGTTGGTTCAACTCAGTCCATAGTGCAAAAACCTGTACATAGTTTTTCAGTTGCAAAAACGGTTAAAAGGGATTTATGATCTATGATCCTCAGTTCTGTCACTAACATGTTTGTCCACTTTTCGTGAACTTAACCAAATTGCGATGTATGAGATTAAAACCTACACAAAGTACCCGTGCCATGGACTAAGGTTAAACTATGCTTAATTTTCCATTGTTTACATCTACTTCACTTGTGTATTAAATAATTGACTATTTTCTTAGCCTTTGTGAATTATACTTGGAATCCTGTACCGTGAAACTAAACTATTGAAATAATTGACTTTAAGTTGCATTTTTACAACGAAGGTTCTTGAAACTATCATTATTATTGAAAAATAATTTCTTTAAATGTTATAACTTCTCTTATTACTACCTAGCTATTCCTATTGCTTAGTATCCCTGGACACCAATTCACTCGACAAATCCCCAAATCAGAACACGGTTGAACAGGAACAAAAGTATGTATCAAATAACAAGCGTAGATGGAAGTAGGAATTACAACAAGAAAAACGTTTGTATATTTATAGTTTTTACACGAGAAACTTCTAGAGATTTCTCCAAGTATCCACTAGTGCTGATTAGTTAGGAAATAGTCGATCAGTGTGCACCAACACAATCCTGCACGGAACGTGTTCTAACCCAATCTGTACCCCGCTAACAACAGATGATTCGACCATTTGTATACTTTTGTTCATTTCTGTATATATGAATGATCTTCTATATTTCATGTAATTTTACATGAAATTCATGTTATTCTTTAAGGAAATCATTCCTTTTTATTTTATGTGTACTATTGTTTCTGATTTCCGTCTAATAGACTTGAGTTAAACGGGCATCGTCGACGATTAACTTGGGAAGCTTGTCCACGTAGTATTCATGATGGTGTTCAATCTGCAATCGCTGTGTCTGACTGTTTAGTGTTCGATTCTAATACTGCTCATTCATTTGCTGAAAATGGTAACCTAGGAATTAATGTGACTATTTCCCAAGTTTCTCCGTCTATTTCATAATTTTAAGCATTCATTACATTTTTTCCGTGCTTTTTCTTTTCTTCCCTTTTTGTTAAGAAAATCCAGTTCACATTATTATCCGTTTTTGCTACATCGAGCATATTATCTTAGTTCTCTTTGCTTTTACACACGTCTTATTAAAGTTTGTAACTATTGAATATCAGTGGATCGCTCTACGTTTGTAACGTTTTTCTTCGATAGAAAGATGAGAATATTTACATGCATGCATTTGATTTCACTTCCTTCTTCATTCTCTCATTCATGAAATCAGTATCTTCATTCTCTTTTACTCTCAATTTATTCACATCTTCATGTTTCTTAGTTTTTCCAAGCGCCTTAAAAATTACATTATCATCTCGTATATGCACATTAATGTTTCCCTTCTAAATAATTTAGTTTACTGGTTCCTTGTGTGTGTACGTTTGTATATTATCTGTCCATTGGATCCAGTCTATGTAAATAATTGTGTTTACCATCCACCACTTCTGTCACATTTCCCACTGATAGTTCATTCACATTCATACATTTAGTGATTAATTATTATTATTCAAAATATAAACCCTAAAAAACAAGACAAGTCAAGTACGTACATTTCATTTTCTTTCATATTTTGTTAATCCTATTTTCTCTTGTATTTTTTTGTGACATACTCTCCATGCTTTTTTTCTCTCCAGAGCTGTTTATGTTTTTCTTTTCTATAGAAAGAAGACGTTAGTATTTCTTTATGTATAATTGCGATTTTAAGTGAAAACAAAATTTATGATCTTTTGGTATTATTTGAGGTATGTCTACAAAGAGTTTGTCATTATTGTAGTAAAAAAACGAAAAAAAGTGACCACATCTCTGTATATGTTTTTTGGGAAAGTTGCTCGTGTGTTTGTTCTTTTTTCATTGATTTTCTTGTTTATATCAAGTTAGTTCGTTTTTCTTATTTTATCCTGTTTTCAAAAATTGTTGCTATGTCTACACTCGTATTGTGAAGCGGTCAAAAAGAAATGTTTTCGGTTCCATAAAATAACCTGTAAGCAAATATAAACATACTATTGCGTATCAATGCATAAGATTTTTCAAGTTTTGTATCTGAAGAAGTTCTTAGGTGATTGGCTTTGCATGATGATTATCACTCTTTGATTTATAGGCCTTTATTCGAGTGGTCATTGGTTAGTCTTTAAAGCATAGACTAGTCATTTTGCGTGCTTGAATAAAAAGCCGTAAAATTGCAATCGACATGAAATGACTTACTACTTAGCACTTTGATACGTCTGTCAGAAAAAACATGATTGCCGGATAAGCAACTGAAGAGGCACATATCGAGATGAATTGAATATAAAAGTCTATTTTGTATGGGCCTGATTTCATTTCTATGTTTACCTATTCACTGGTTGATATTATGTTTCCGGTGCGGAAACATTGACAGAATTTAAGAGAACGCTAATTCATTATTATTATTATTATTATATATTTCTGCATGTGCAGGTACACACCGTTTTACAGGCATGATCTATAAATTACAACATTTGTTGGTCCGCAAAATGCTTCCCAACTTATCAAGTTTATAGTTGTTATAAAGTGAAATCGTAGAGCGCTTGCTGTAAACTATGACCTTGAGAGGACGCGTACGTCAAGTTTGTTCCAAACCTCAGACGTTTCATAGCTGTGCTCTCAGAGCAAGATTCTGAAGAAGAAAAGAGAAACAGAAGAGCAGAAGTACCATTATGGACTGGATAAAAACAGGAAGTAATCGGACTACTTCACAGATAGGCGGTTCGGGATTGAAAATGCAGGCAAAATCTATTACTTGTTATAGGTAGTCCGCTTGTATTAATATCTCAAAAAGTATTCCGTATTCCAAGTCAGAATTCAGTTTCTTTAGGCATGACACTTCGAAATTATGAAGTATTTTTTAAGTCACAATGCAATATTAGTCCACTAAGCTTCTGTTAATAAACTAGTATCGTTCATTGTCAAATAACCACCAATATCATGAAACATTGACATTTTAACTATTACTTTGGAATAGCCCCTTGCTGATATCGTGTGGCACAATGTCATCGTCTTTGCCTACCCCTCATAGTAAGAAGATATTGTTCTCCAATAACTTGTTTTAATTTAGCTTCAAAAAGTCAGTTTAATACGATACTTTTCAAAATTAGAACATTGATACAAGGATAAGTAATGAAGTCTCGTTTACTTTCCCTTCCTGAAAGGGGTTGTTATTGGACATTTTCTAGTAAGGCGGTATAACTGATATCTAGAATTGTTAGTTTAGTGTACTGAAAGCTGTCAAACCTTCGAATGAGCAACAGTTTTTCAAATTTTGCTTTTTGTATTGAGGACGGAAGTCCGACAGAATGTGTCAGTCCTTTTCAAGTAAGCTTCTGAGTGCTGAGTTTCTCTCACATGAGTCAACTGATGTTTTGAGAATCGATGCTTTGATGTAAACGCCAGTATACTCTGGGTAATTTTCCTCTTCTGGTGTTGCGTCTGATCTGTAAGTCCAATAAAACGTAAGGGAGGACTTGTCCATCTAGCTTAAGGCCTTGACACTATAGGCTAACGGGTTCAACATTGAGGCTAGAAATGCATGTACCCGAATCGAAACTAACAATCTTATGGAGAAAGCCGAAAGCTGTTCTGTAATCTGAATGGTTGACAAGAGAGAGAGAAAATGAGTCAACTAGATCACTACTAGACTTGTTACCGATTCAGATTAGCGTGAGAAGATATGTGGATAAATAGGTAACTAGTTTGACCACAACGCACAATTATAAAAATACAATCATGTTCTGAATAAGCATTAGGGTAAGAAAGTCCAGTGTCGTGATTTCAGGTATCCGGAATCTGATACTGATATGCGTTGTGCGACGCCCTAATCCACCAACTGATTACTTGAGCGAGAACACAGGAGTGAGAAAGTGTCTTGGGCTACCGAATAAAATACACAAATATTCGTTCATGTATATACCACCTTAATCCTCGGGAAGTTGATCAATTTCTTAGCCAATATAACGCATTTGTCCTTCAGGTCAATTCTGATTATCAGCGACTGCCTTCTCATTAGGCTACTTCTGACTGGCTCTCCTTATCCTGGGGTATATAATGGTGCATTTAAATTAAAATGGCTTTGCTATAGAAAAGGGTTAGCCAATGAATCATGCACCAAACGAAATCTTGTGGTATATTAGGCCATGAGGGACGAATCTAGATATTAGTATTCTCCAAACTTTAAATTAGGGAAATAACTGTTTCACCAATGTTAGGACTGAACATAATGTTTTAGCTTCTCAGCCTCTTCGTATTTGGTAAACCTCCTAGGTAACACGTAAGCGTATGAAACACTTCAGGGTTTTGTCTATGCCAACGATCTACGAATCATTTAAGTGAACCTGGCCGAAGATCAGGAATATATGGTTGCAGACCATAGCTAGTATCGGCGCCACTTACGAAAGACATACATATAAGCTCAAAACGATTATTTTTGAGCATTAAACGACAAACAAAGCGAAGTGATGGAATCCCACAATTTGTTGCACAACATTTTAGATATACTTACTGAGTCAGGTTGATGAAGAGCAAAACTTTATCACACTGTTCCAACGAAGTCTGTTTAACGAGTATTGTTAACAAGACTTCTCGTAAACACACACTGAAATACCAGCTACAGAAAATTTACACACGATCAAGAGGACGTTTATTCAAATGTTCATTAACCTCGGGATTAATAAGTCACCTGGTCCTGAAGAGCTACATCCACAATTGCAGTCTTCGCTTGATGAACACTAGTTCGGGGGCTACTCATTACTATGTTTAACATGTCTCTTTCCCGAAAGTAACTCCATAGGGACTGGAAAGACAAGTGAAAACGATAACTTTAGCCTCAACCAAACTACGGTTGTGCAATAAACGACTCTTTGACTCTTACTGAATTTGTAGTGTGATGAAAAATAAAATTAGAAGAACAGAAGACAAACCCTTTCATGGAATAACAAAGATAAATCTTACGAGCAGAACCGTGAGGCTTCAAAGACGCATATAAGACTACTTCATGTGAACAGTAGTCAGTCAGTCAGTCACAACGTAGAACTTCGTACGTACGTACATCAGTTCGAGTTGCCACACCACATTAGCACAGAGATTCACTTGTCGATTCAAATCCCGTAGTGATAGAGGTAATAAGAGTATAAGCAGTAATCGGGAAGATTAGGGTTTGGAGATGTTATTTAAAGAGTATAATACAGTGAAAGAAATTTGGAAAGAGGAAAAAAGGGACATGAAGAATTCAGAAGATTAGAGTTTGGGAGAACACAGAGAGTGGATACACCTGCGCCATTGCAAACGATTTTGAGCCATGTCATTCAGGGTCTCTAACCATCGGTTGCTATCATCTCGCGGTCCACAACCAGGTAGTCTACACCTACCAACATGGCACAGTCCACTTGTCAGTGACTTCATGGACTTGTGCCATGTTGTGGTTTGGTCGCCCCTAGCTTTCTTCCAACCTACTCCTATACCACTGAACATAGCACGTCGAGGCAGTCGGTCGTTGGGCATACGTAACACGTGTCCCAGCCATCTCAACTGATGAAGTTTCACTACTTCATCAATTGATTTGCCATCCTTACCTAGTACCCGTTTCCTAACAACTGCGTTACTTACTCGATGGTCCCATGATATACGAGCAATGTTTCGAAGACACCTATGATCAAATACTAGTAGCCTACGGATATCCTCTACTCTTACCGGCCATGTTTCACTGACATAAAGTAGAACGGAACGAACTGCTGCGCAGTAAACACGTCCTTTGGTTGATAGACGGATATCTCACCTACGCCATAAATGACGCAAGTTGGCAAAAGCTAGTCGAACCTTCTGTATCCGTGCTGAGGTTTCGTCACACACCAGAATACAAGGACTGATGAGACTTCCAAGATAAGTGAAGCGGTCGACAATCTCAACTACTTCACTCCCTATCACTAGTTCGGGTGTCGATGTAACCCAAC